TTACATTGATATTAAGGCAAAGTTTATTTCAGAAGTACATAAATCACATCTAATTTTTGGATTGATTGTCGTAGTTTACTCTAATGGTTATTATGGCAGGAGTGATTTGTTAATTTGTTTTTTATTATTTATTTATTTGGATTAATTATTTTTACTTATTTTTGCTTATTTTTTATTTATTCTTTTCAGTCTATTCTAACAGTTATTATGGTGAGGGTGGTTTGTTAATTTGTTTATTATTTGCTTGGATTAATTTATTTTACTTGTTTTTTCTTATTCATTTTATTTTATTTATTCTTATTTATTCTTTTTCATTTATGATTTTTAAGTAACGCAGTAAAAATTTGTTCTTGTGTCTGCATTTTGAGATGAGTTCTGATAGTGTATTTAGTAGTTTGTTTTGGTCTGGGAAAGTAATAATAGTGATTTTTTACTCCAAGCAATGTTTGCAGTTTTTAGATTGATTGTTGTAGGCTGATGTTCTTTTCCTTATTTTCCATTATATTTTTGGTGTGATTTACACTTTGTTTTTAATTTCCCAGATATATTTAGAAAGCATTGTGCTGTTCATGTATTTACTATTTGTGAAAGATGCCTTGTGTGCATAGTTTCTTTGTTTTCAGGATCCTTCAGTTACTCCTATGTATATATTTTTCATATATATATGTGTGTGTGTATATATATATATATATATATATATATATATATATATATATATATATATATATATATATTTAAAGCATTTTTCATTTAAAATTGCAACAAACTTTTTAAACCAAACCAATATATATATATATATATATATATATATTGGTTTGGAGCAAAAGTTTGTTGCAATTTTAAATTAAATTCAAAGACAGCATTTAGATATTTGTAAATAATTTTATTCAATGTCATATCTGCCATTTTGTTCTACTACTTTTCCCTATCTTTGAAGCAACTTCATGATTCCATCCTCCCAGAATTTGGTATCTTTCTATGTGTTGAACTGTTTGATTTCACAGATTTCCAGAGAATTGAAGTTCTTTCCATTAAGATAATATTGTAGAGATCAAAATAAGTTATAATCTGAAAAGTCAAGTGAGTATTAGGATATCCCAGCAAGGCTGTACCAATTCCTGTGTGATCTGCAAAATTATATAAATTCTGGCATTGTTCTGATGAAAGACAACACTTTTCTAATTAGCCAATTCCAGATACACTTTATTGATTGTTGCCTTTAATTGGTTCAGATGGGTACAGTTCTTATCTGAATTCAATGTCTAAATTTGCAGAAGCTTGTATTACCAATGTCCTTACAGTTTCACCAAATACATACAGCATTACCTTAAAAACAAAGTGTTACCTCTTTTCTGAAAGTTAAGGGTGGGGACATAAGGTCAGAATTAAAAATAGACGATACATTTGTTGCTGTCATATTTTCCACAATCATCAATGATTGCATGTCTATGTGCTGGTTTATCATGACATGAAAGAATAACTCACCCACCTCCACCCTCTGAGTTTACTTTTCTATTTAGCATAGATCTGACATTTAATTGGTTAATCAAGACATACCCACAGGTCTGTTTTTAATTCTGACCTTATGTCCCCACTTTAACTTTCTGAAAAGAGGTAACACTTTGTTTTTAAATTTCCTTAAAAATCATTTAATCACTAGTTACTTACCATCACCTGAAGAAGTACAATCATAGTATTGAAACATGAAAGCTTTTGTGTAGCAATTCCAAAATGTTTTTATTATAAACTATATTATATTTATAATATATATTTGTGAAGTCTAATTATCGCCACCAGTTTATCACATAATTCATAAATTATTATATAATAAATTATTTACTTTATTAACACTTAATATTTAATATGTTTATTAAAGTGACTTTTTATAATATGTCCATTATACTCATAATATTCACATGTCATTCAATAACATCTGTAATGACCAGCAGAATAAATTTCAAAAACTGGGAGTAATTACCATAATTATTTTTTTCCCTTTTGGAAAAATTATCTATTGTGTATAATACACATCTTTTCAGAATTTGTCACAGCTAATTTTAACCTAATTTTAACAATTGTTTGATTTTTTTGGCGGCCATATCAACTATAAAGAATATATATATATATAACAATGCCATCTTTTCACTGGAAGGACACGATGACTAATGATGATAATGTTAAAGATGATACTATCTACTACTGTCATGTCATCTATCTTTCATATGGACAGCAGTGAAGCAAATTACAATGTGCTTAATATCTATGAGATCAATTTTTGCTTTTTTTAAACAAATGAAGTGTCTGGCTAGTGATTCTTTAAATTCTTTGATACACAATTATTTGGAACAGAGATATAACTTCCTTCCAGCCATACTGATTATGATGATGCATGTAGCCAGAAAAGAAGCTTATATTTAATCTTGTGTGTAATACACACCACTAACCTTTATGCTTAAAAATCTGAAAAAGAAAGTGTGTATTATACATGAATAATGCTGGTATCCTGTTGAAGATATGGATCAAGGCCTGGAGCAAAATTGACCAATCAAATGCTTTCTCAGTAACACCTTTTTTATTTCTAAACTAACTTCATGTTCATAACCTGGATAGTAATATACTGTGCTTTATCAGAGGAAACAAGAATTTAAGAGTTTTATATTTTATGCTTTTAGTGAATATGCAGAAATAATGTCAATCTCTTAAATAAGATTACAACAGTCTGAATAGTATTGCTCATCAACAGACCAGTGAAACTATCTTATTTATTTTATATTTATTTTTTAACATTTAATCATTATCAAGAAGATATAATTCAGTTACCTGTATAAATTCTGTTATATACTGTACTTATGAACACTAATGGTTATGTCCCAATCCTTATAAATACATTGGAAACTATTGTAAGTGGGGGTAATATGCTGTCTAAGTAGTCCACCACTAGCAGTAGTTTACCTACTTCATGCCACTGGGGAGTATTTTTTTGATGTTATAAAGATTACCATTTCATTTCCAAATACCGTTTTGGTTATTCCTCATTCAGTAACCTTTTCTGGGTTACAACAAATTCTCATAAAATATTACATTTGATTAATTCAAATAGTAACATAAGAATAAAATTAGCAAGAGAAAATGAATGTAATTGTCCTAAATTTGATTGTAATTGCAAACATCATCATCAGAGCTGTTTTGTTTTTTTTCAAGTTGTTTTCAACTGTAAACCAATTTGATTTCCCCTGTTCAACATGTCTGCTCACCTTCAAGAATGCTCATCTGCTCAGATCTATTTATTTTTCTTCAACAGCTGCAAAGGCAATCTGTGGTTTATACTGCAACTATACTGACTGAACCTTACTTACATTCAAGTATATGCCCCACCAGGACCATGTACAGTTTTGAATTCAGAATTGTCCATCTAGACTGGTTGCCAAGTATGATGAGAGAGTCCAGTCTTCCCTTCTATTTAATCTATAGCTGTGGTGAGAATAGATGTATTCATACCTTTCCCAAGGGTATCTGTACAAAAGTAAATCTAATAATCTTGATCGGAATTCAGACTCATCTCTTTGATTTCTTGCTCTGAGACTCTAACCATTAGAGCACCTGGACACAGCAGATGAATTATATTACTGACCAGTGATAAAATATTTTTATATGAAAAAACAAACTGAGTCAATTACATAAGATCAAATTTTTCAGTAATAATAATAATGATAAATGCAATAAACTAATAATAATAAATTAATGAACTCTGTTCATATACTTATATCTAGTAGTACTCTTAAAATACATCAACATACAATAAAGTTAAAAAAAATAATAATTTTAATTACTTTTTATAGTTTGAAAAATTATTGTATTTCCCAGTGTCAAAGATGCTATACAATTATCGTATTATCTGCAACCCAAAACATGTATCCTGCATCCAACATGACAAAAATTATTTTTTATTTTACTTAATTTTTTACTTTTTAATCTTTTTTAAAAATTTTGTACTTCAAAACTGAAATACATCATTGGGGTCAGAATGCTCTCAATACTGGTAAATACAATAATTTCGATTTTAAACCTATTCTCTTTCATCAAGCCCAGAAAATCAGAATCAGGTGTGAATCAGTAACTAGGAAAATTTCAAAGTGTATATTGTCAAGAGTAAAAAGCTTCTTAAAACAAAATACAATGAAATATTAAAAAAAAAAAATGAAAAACAGATAACAGATAAAATGTTTCAATTTTTTTTGTAACAATATAAAACACAAGCTTATAAAGTAAAAGTAGTTTTCAACTCAGAAATCATGCAGACACCGTGATGAAAAATTTGAGGTTGAAAGATATTTAACTGTACTTTGATTCAAATTCCAACAGTTTAAAAAATACCAGGATGCAGCCAACAAAATTTTGTGTACCACACTGACCACACCCAGATCTTGATAATGACTGAGATGGTCAAAAGTATTTGAACAAAACAGAACAAACATCATCTTTGAACAATTTATCCATAAATTTGATCTTGATGTGCAAAATTTTATTAAAAAATTAGAAAAATAGAAATAAAATTAAACGGATGGGAAATTTTGGTTGAATTTAACAAATGTTAAAATTCTTGCTTAAATATATCAATAAATATGTAGCCTGATGATGAATCCATACATTTTAACAGAAGACATAGTCTAGTGGCAAATATTGATAATTTCAATTAAACATTATTGAATGAAAATTTGACATCATCAAATTTTAGCTAATAACTATAGACTTAGTAATTCACCCATTTATATATATATATATATATATATATATATATATATATATATGAGGGTGAATCACTAATAAAGATATATATATGAACAGTAGGAAGAAGCCATAATCTGATGATAGATTATGATGTGAAACTGACAGTTCTCATGCAGTGCTGAATTTTATGTCAACATTGATTATATCAAGAAATACTCTAACCACAATAATACTGTTTTCAGAAAGACAATGCTAAAAAATAACAAACTCACCCAGATTTTTCCATCACAGATGATATTAAATAAAGTTAAGTTAGAAGCTCCCATGTCCACTTGCTGTCTGCTCTACTGACAATGAAAATCTGTGTCAACAATTAGCAAAAGTTATGATGGGAGTGAGACATCTACTTATATCAAGTACTTTACAAATATCCTGGATATTTTCTATTTATCTAGAATGTACAGTTTCCCTACTCTAGCTTGTATTAGACAAGAAATGGTTGATATATAAATGATTGGGCTTGAAAATCTATCAAATGTACTAAAGATGATTAGGTTCGAAAATCTATTGAATGTACTGCTTTCTTACTCTAGGTTGGGCTAAAAGAAAAGGATATTATATAATTGATTAGGTTATAAAATCTATCGAATGTAATTTTTCCTTACTCTAGGTTTGGTTAGATAAGAAATGAATAATATATACATGATTAGGCTTAAAAATCAGTTAAATGTAGTTTCCTTACTCTAAGTTGGGCTAGACATGAAATGAATATTATATATTATTATATTATTAGGTTTGAAAATCTACTGAATGTAATTTTTTCCTTATTCTAGGTTGGGCAAGAAGTGGATGATCAAAAGGTGATTAGGTTTGAAAATCTATCAGATATACAGTTTCCTTCCTTTAGGTTGGGCTAGAAAAGAAACAGATAATCAAAAGGTAATTAGGCTTGAAAATATATCAAATGTATTGTTTCTTTAATCTAGGTTTGGCTAAACAAGAAATTGATATTATATTGTGACACTATTTGACACTTGTAAATGGAAAGAAATGGGTTAAATCAAAAACATAACTCAGAACAAGGTGAGAAGAGTTAACCAATAGAATGATAGACAGACCAAGAGAAAAAAGGGAGATTTTTCCTTTTCCAAAAAGAAGGCTTAATTCTCTAAAACCAGAAAAATTACTTAAGGAAAGGCGATATTACCACAAGAAGCCATGTGGCAATCTTTAAGCTGACCCAACTCCAAAGTATCAGCTACAAAAACAATATAAATAGGATGGATAAGATTTGATCTGTGAATAGAGTTTCTTTGTGTATGTATTTGGAGTGAAATCACCCTGGTAGTGTTAGAGAGATGGCTAACCAGAGAACCACCTGGTGAATTTCTGATTTTTAAGCAAAACCAAGCTGGCAAAATTTTGCTTACACAAAATTTCAAATGATAATTTTCTTTAATGAAAGTGGTTGAGAGCCAGATTCGTTGAAGGGTTGCCAAGGTGGCAGACACAGGTGAAATACTGGGTGGGTAGAGGAATTGCCCACATCCATTGGGAGGTGTTGGTGTGGGGTGCCAGGGTGGGAAGAAGAGAGTTGAGGGGTGGATCTATGTCTTGTGGCCACTGCTCATGGAGAAGAGGATCTTCCTAAGGTTGGGCATGTAGTTGGTTTCCTGGAGCCGGACAACATTGTAATTAGGAGTGTTGCTGGGGTCCCAGGCCACATCATGCCACATGCCAATTTATAGGCAAAGGTCCATATAAACAGCAACTGAGAGGCACGTGTTTCAGACACTGGATGACATCATGTGACTTCCTGCCTCAAAGGAATCTCCGACATAAGCCCTGTGCCTTGTTCAGACTTAGCTAAACCAACTGAAGTGTTGCGTTTAACTAACAAAGTGGGAAGGGTTGATATTATGCTGCATGAAGAACTAATAATTTTTAATATCAAGAATTCACCAACTTCTGTACAAAGTTTGTAGATATAAAGACATTTTCTTTTACACAAATTTTTTTTTCTCACTTGTGATTTCACTCCACCTGGACCGACCCAATATGTCAATTCCTGTCAATAATTCAATCTTTGCCAACCTTATGACCAAAACCAAGCACAACATGAGATAAGGCAAAGGCTTGAGTCAAAGAAGTCAACTCATTGATCAGCTGTGGGGATTGGACATCAGATGGACTGGATGAGAAGAAAGCCACAATATACATGATTAGGTTTGAAAATCTATCAACTGTACTGTTTCTTTACTCTAAGTTGGGCTAAAAAAGAAATGGATATTATATAGATAATTAAGTTTGAAAATCTATCAACTGTACTGTTGCCTTAATCTAGGTTGGGCTAGACAAGAAATTTATATTATATAAATGATTAGGTTTGAAAATCTATCGAAGGTACTTTTTATTACTCTAGGTTGTGCTAGACAAGAATGGATAATATAAAGGTGATTAGGTTTGAAAATTTATCAAATGTACTGCTACTTTACTCTAGGTTGTGCTAGACAAGAAATGGATAATATATAGATGATAAGGTTTGAAAATCTATCAAATGTACTGTTTCTTTACTCTAGGTTTGGCTCAACAAGAAATAGATTATTACTGAATATGTATATCAAGCTCTTGATAATAACACCGAACCTTGAGCTGTGGCTCTAGATATCTCAAAGACATTTGACAGTGTTTGGTATTCTGGTTTTTTATATAAGCTCCTGGGCTATGGTATTAATGGATGATTCTTTGAGTTAATCCAGTTAGTCCTATCAAATCATGAAATGAAGGTCTTTTTGAATGGATTCACATTAAGATCCTTTTACATCTTCTGGGTCCTACATTGTTTCTGATCTTCATTAACAATCTTCCTGATGTCATCAATTCTCAAGTAGGCATTTATGCTGATGACACTACCACTTACTCCTGTCTCAATAGCAAATCTGTCAGAGCCGCAAAGTTAACCTGGCTGCTGCTTTTGAAAAGGACCTCCAATCTGTGGTTAACTGTGACAGGAAATGGCTCATAAATTTTAATGCCTTCAAAACAAAGCTGCTTTCACTTAAACATCATAACAAATCTTTCCTATCCGCCATCAGCATGGCTCATGTTAGACTCATCGAGAGAAATACACTGTGCCTTCTTGGCCTCACGTTTTCAGCTGACTGACTAAGTGAACAACTACATTAAATCAATAGCTGCATGTACTGCAAGGAAAGGTTTTTTCATTAACATTCATCTTGTACATTTACAAATCTACCATTTGTCCATGCATTGAATACTGTTGCCAAATCTGGTTTAGTGCTACTCCTAATCTTCTTGAGTTTCTTGTTCAAATCCAAAGAAGGATTTGCAATGTCATCAATCCTGATTTGGCATCCTGACTTCAGTCACCTACTCACCAACGTGATGTGGCTTCCTTCTGTCTTTTCTACAAATATTTTCATGCCAACTGCTTTTTACCCTGGTTTCCAGACTATGTGAATTAAGCATACTACTAGATTGGCATCTAGGTTCTACCCTTTTAATGTTGAATTAGTTAAACATAACCACCACTTCTACTCCAACAATTTCTTTTTCCGCACTTCCCACCTGTGGAACTCCCATTTCCTTGTTTCCCTGATAATTACAATCTTCAAAAATTTAAATGCAATGTCATTTCTATCTTCTTAAACCCCATTCAGGTTTTATTCTTTCCTCTGTCTCCCTATACCCAGTCTTTTCTCTCACCTTGACTTTCTGTAACCCCCTGTGTACCCATGGTATTCCTGCCTTGCTTGGGGTGAAATGATTAAAAAAAATATATAGATGATTAGGCTTGAAAATCTATCAAATGTACTATTTCCTTACTCTAGGTTGGGCTAAACAAGAAAAGTCTAATATATAAGTGATCAAGTTTTGAAATCTATCAAATTCAGTATGATTAAAATGTGAAGAAAAATCTTTAAAAAGACTAAGAAATAATGTCAAGTTGAAATGAAGCATATATTTTCTTTCTTGGAAACAAAAATAAAACTCTACCTTATTTCATTAATGATCCAAAAATAAATTAATGCAATTTATTTTCAAAATAAAATGATAATGGAAACAATGATGGTTGATATAATGATGATAGTGATTATTTAATAATGCCTATGTTTGTACCAGCAAGAATGTGCGATGGCAATAATGATAGTGATGTAAAAAATCCATAGTAACATTGATGATGATGATGATGATGATAATGATGTGTGTTAACAAAAATACTGTGTGCTAACAAAAAATGATAATTCTAGTGTAATCGCAATTATGGTGATGATGGTGACAGCTTTAACAATGAAGATGATTGTAGAGCTTACATCAATGCGTTTGGATAAAAACAATATATAATAATAATAATAAGATAATCTGTCTGCATGACTTAATTTTTTGGATGGTAGAAAGTCCATTTCATAATTATAGTTCAATAGGATAATTCCCCAGCACTGCAGTCTATTTGCTGTATGTGTGGGAACACCCTTTTTTGATCCATATATGGACAATAATGGATAATGGTCTGTCTGTAGTATGAATTCCCTACCATGTATGAATTTATGAAACTTTTTCATAGCAAATATGATGGCCAATGCTTCCTTTTCAATATGGCTGTAGCTTTTTTCAGCTGAAATTAATGATCTTAAAGAATCACTGCTCGAATACCCAAACCACTTGCATCTGATGCAAGCACAATCTTTAATTTAGGGTTAAAATGAGTTAGTGACAAATCCAATATTATGACTTTCTTGATCTCTTTGAAAGCACTTTTGCATTTATCTAACCAATTCCATTTCACATCTTTCTTTAGCAGGTTATTCAAGGGTGCTCTTAATTTGTGCATGTTTTATATATATATATATATATATATATATATATATATATATATGATAGTAATTTGCAAACCCTAAAAATGCTTGTAACTTTGTTACATTTGTTGGAATGGCCGTGTCTTATATTGCACTTGCCCTTGAAGGATCTGGTTGTCTACCATTTTCATCGATAATTTATCCTAGATATTTAAGTCTAGACATAAACAATTTACATTTTCCTCCACTGATCTTAAACCCATATTCTTTAATTCTCTTAAATACTATTTTACAATCCAAAGCAGTAAGCATGGTATCCATAATCTGTTGGAATACGCTTGGTACTACCTTTATACCAAAAGGAAGTCAGTTAAATTTGTATAAACCTCTATGGATGTTAACTGTTAATACTTTTGAGCATTCTTCGTCTACTTGTACTTGTACTTGTACATAAGCATCTGACAAGTTCAATTTAGAAAAAATTTACCACCATTTAATTTGGCAAAAAT